GCACAACTTAGAGCCAAAATGTAGCACGAACATGGTTTATAAAACATACGTGAAACAAGTACACGAAACATCATGATGTGAAGTATGGCCAAAGCAATCTTGTTGAAGCCGTATACGCTCGCTGCAGCTCCGAAGGGCAGGCTCTTTGCTATGTAGAACTCCCAAGCTCCGCTGGGACTTGGGAAACCCAGCACAGCGCGATCCCTCGTGTCGGGGTGGATTCCCACCTGACGATAAGCCTTGCTCAAGTCAAGCGTTTTACCAAGGAGGTCGGGTCGGGCGAGCATCTCAGGAGACCAGTCCCCTTCAAGCACTGTGCCGTCTGCGAGTGGCACCTTAACTCGCTTCTTATCCTGCAGGACGCGCGATATGAACCTTAGAAGCCCAACCGCATAATCAGTGTCCTGCAGCTCAAGAAAGGAAGTGGAGCCAAATGCCCGGTTCACCGCCGACATCTTGAAGTCGTCGATTATCCTAACCTTAGAATCCTCCCCCTGCCTCAAAAGGAAGCGCGTGGATAGCGACCAGTCGTCGGTGCCAAGCTCGGAAGAGACCTCCTGTTCGGAATGAAATGGTCCCGACATGAATCCAGCGGCTACTTCAGCCTCTGTTTCGGATTTCATGGAGGCATAGTCTTCCCCTGAGGCCAACCCTTTCATCTGCTGCAACACCTGTCGCCTGAGCATCGCCTGCGCCTTCAACTGCTCTGGGTCGATGTCCTGAGGCTTGGGCCGCTTGTCAAAAAGCGCAGAGGCATTCTCTTGCCCCACCAAAGGAACCCCGTCTCGCAGCAGGTCAATGACCGACATGTCGGGGAATCCGGTTTCCTCAAGCAGTCGCCCGAAGAGAGCGATGGCCTTTCCTCGAGTCACCGCCTCAACATCAGGGTGCATATTCTTTCGAAGCTCTGCCTCTGCACTCGACAGTTCAGCAAGCTGGGCATTCAGAGCCTGAAGGGCTAGCATCCGCTTCTTGGAGATTGCCAGAGGTCCCTCGGTAAGCACAGAAAAGATGTTCCTGCGGACGGTGTCAGGCAAGCGGCTGCTTGTGTCTGCGGGACACGGGAGCTGACAAGCCTTGTGCAAATGTTCTTCCATGGTGTGATAGATTCCTGCCAAGACCCCTTTAGAGGAAGCACCACCTGTGGAAGATCCCCCTGCACTCGGACCCTTTAGCCTAAACCGCTTATTGTGTTCCAGCTCATCCTCATCCCCCGCTTTAGAGCCTGGAGCACGGCTGAGGACCTTATAATCAGCACCTGGCGGCACCTGGGACAAGGGGAGCCTAACCCGAAACTCAGGGATGAGGGAAGGGTAGTAGTGAGGCTGATTTGCGGCGGCCGACCGAACCTGGGCACGAAGTTGCTTGCACCGAGCGGAAGCTGGTCGCACCACGTCACCTTTGTTGAAGAAGAGGCAGGCACGAGCACACAGCGCTTCGCAGAGCTGCAAGGGCAAATCGGCATCACAAAAGCCAGCAGAAGGGCGCAGAGGCGCCCATGCACGATGTTTATGTGTTTTGTCACAGGACCGACCTAAGCCCTCGAATGCAGGAGCACTGGCTTTGATACGCACAGAAGTCAGGAAGGACGCACCAAACATACAAGTGTCCAACTCTTGATCCGACAAAGCGAAGAACCAATCGACAAAAGCTGAAGGGCCCCGCTGCTTGACGCAGGAGGCCAGCAGGCTCCAGCAATGGCTTCGGGCTGGACCGACGAGGGACACTAAGGCACCGGTTGCAAAAGCGCGAGCCAACACAGCGACCAGGGCTCGGCAGAGGCAGTTGTCCTGTTGCACTAAGTGCTCTGCTGCGGGTGGCAGGTTGGGATTACCAAAGACGTAGTCAGCACTTCTCAAGGGCCGATCATGATTTTTGCCGCTGGTGCGAGTGCATGATTTCAAGAAGAGATGCCCGTGCCACCAATCGGCCACGACTTGACTGTCAAAGTTGAGCAGGTGGTCCAAAGAGGGCTCGTCGGTCAGATCCAAAGGCACAAGAGGAGTGGTTCCTACCGTCAAGAACCGTTTGCCGATGGGGATCGCATCCCACCCCGACTGCATGGCTGCTGCAGCAAGCTGACCTGAAGAGCTAAGGCACTCAACCAGACAGGGGGCTCTGGCGCTGGAGGGGCCCTGCCGCGGCAGGGGGTTGCTGCCCTCAGACACAATATGCGCCCGCGAAGGGAGCTGGCTGAGCAGCGCAGGAGCCAGCTGAACCGCCTGAGAGAGGCGCTGGGCAAAGGGAACCCTAGCCTTTGGAGACTTGCCAACACATCAGCAGAGGCAATGGATGCCGCTTGAAGACTGAAGAGTACCAAGACAAGCCGCCGACCGGTGAAGGGGGCGGTAGAGTGCTGATAGTGCCTGGCACAGAATTGCACTGGCCCCTCGGACACTTCAAGATAAGTTGGCACGGCCGGGCCATCGACCCGAATAGCTCCCCCTTCAAAAGAAGATAAAGGAATGACGTAATTTGGTAGAAATGAATTCTGTGTGTCTCGATGTGCTCGAGTTTGCACTCGGGAGAAAATGGCAAAGCTGGTGTAAACTGCATCGCTAAGCAAAGAGGTTGCAAACCTGTTCACCGCCTGCACTGACCAGGGAAAAAGCTTGCAGGCACGACGAAGCCCTACCTGCACACGGGAGAACAGCCCGGCAGAGAAAGAAATCCCCTCAGCATCGCGGTCACACTCATCATGCGGCAAAGCATCAAACAGGGCAGCCACTTGGCTGGCCGTGATGGGCTCGCGCTGCTGCATGAGGCGCTTGGCCACAACCTCAAGGGAGCACTTAGCTCCCGAACTCAAATTTGGAGAACTGTCATTGGCAGCTGCAGGGCCACCTAGTCAATGCCGGCACTCAGTGTAAGGCCTCTCTGCCCCACACCCCTTGAAGTTGCAAATATGCTTCCCGAAGCGGCAGGACTTCCTCTTTTGGAACCGGCAAAGTCCCTTATTGAAGAATGGGCAGATGAACCTGCCATCATCGTTGGCCCTGACACAACCATCCGGCAAGCTATCAAGAAGCTCCTTCAATGAAGTCGTTGGAGCTGCATCGGCATTGGTTTGGAAAATTCTTGCCCTTGCCATTCTTGCCTTTGCCGCCTTTGCCTCCTTTGTCTCCCTTCTCTCCTTTACCTTTAGAAGGCCTCCAAGGCTGAGCTGGGGCCTCTGGTGGCTTGGGAAGGTGAGTGAGGCACGACATGACAAACTGACTGTTCGAGGCTGCGACAATGTGCTTGTCCAAGGGCGCTGGCATGCCGACTCCTATGGAAATGTCCCCTCTGCTGTCCTGGGCCACTACCTGCCACAACTTCTGGTCTGATGCCAGGAGCTGCTGCACCGTGGTGTAGCGATACCCCGCCGGGGGAGCGCCAAGCAAAGCCTGGAACATCTTGTTGTGCCACGACTCCATCGTGACAAAGCTCGCGAGGCCCACCTGATCGAACGCCAGCGCCCGCCTAAGGAAGCAGCGCCTCAGCTTGAGCTCCCCAGTGGTCTCGCAGCGAAGCGAAGTGGCCTGCTTGGTGATCTTTATGTTGCCGTCTGCGCCCAAGGAAAGCTTCTGCTCGGATTTATCCCCCAGGATCTCGTCATGGCGGGAGATGCACTTCTCAGGTGGAATGTGAAGGACCTGCGCACTGTCAAGCATCGCCTGTACTCGGTCCACTAAGGCATGCCGCGGCTCCGTATGCACGTCAAGCTCAAGGCCCTTCAGCTCCCCACGCTGCCGCTTAAGCCGTGTGAGCCGTTCTGCCAAGGGCATCTCTCGAGGACTGGTTTCCCCGGTCCGCGAAGCCCTCGCTTCCAAATCCACCAAGGCGTGAGAGTGAGCCTCGTACCAAAGCCGGCGCACAACTGACTGCTGCTCCACTGGGACCTCTGATCCTATGAGAGCGTTGATGGAGTCGAAGAGGGCCTTGTCGTCTCCGGAACTGGGCCTGCTGCTGCAAATGAAGGCCAGCTTCCCATAGGTGTCCAGGTTCTTCGCCACGAACTTGCCCAAGAGGTCCTCGCTGAGGCCGATCTGTCTAGCCCTTTCGGTGAAAGCAGGAACGGACTCCAGTCCAGCCATCCGATGACCTGAGCTAGCACGCTTGCGCTTTCTCGGGCCCGCGGCGAACTCAACCGCGAGCTCATCGTTATGGTGGTAGCTCTCTCGGAGACACTCGATGATTGTATCACGCCAGAGCCCCCAAGAAGCCTGCGGTTCTGCCCACCCTTGACTCCCAGCGCATCGACAGCCGAGTGCCCGTGACCTTTTCCGCCCAGGACCTTCCCTCAGCTAAGGGGAGACAAAATAAGAGACCTAGGCTCAGTCGGGCCCCACAGCCTATGCAGGCCGTCACGCCAGGCCCACTGCTCAGAGAACACCAGGAGTCAGCCAGGTTGCACCCAGTGGCAGCTTCTGGAGATCCTGGGCCCTGAATACAGCAACGCCTCATGAGCTCCAAGCACCCCGAAGGCCCAGCTGCCAAGAGCCTCGCACCCTTCACAGCCGGCACAGTCGAGCGCTACTTATCTTCAGCCCGTCAGTTCATTGACTACTTGGCCTTCCACGGCATCGAGATGGCAGCCTTGACCACAGCCCAGTTAGCCGATTTTTTGTACGCTTGCGAACAAGGCCTAGAGGAGGACAGGGAAATATGTCGCCTCGCCCCAAGAAGGCGCTCAAGGCTCTTTCATGGATGTCACGGACAGCCGGCCTATCGCCTCTCTGGACCATCCTGCAGGACAGCCTCGTCGTGGCCTTCCGTTCCCAAAAAGTCGCCGATAGGCGCGAAGCCTTGCCTCTCCCCCTGGCCGTCGTCGTGGCATGGGAGAGACGCCTTTTTGAAGCCGATTGCCCAGCCGACTTGTGCGTTCTTCTGGGAGGATTTCTGCTGGCTGTGCACGGGGGTCTCAGGTTCGGTGATCTCCAAAGGATTCGCCCATCTAGCCTATCTCTTACCTCATCCAGCCTCCGAGCAGTCTGCTGGCAAACCAAAACAACACGCCAAGGCCAGCCGTTTGCAGTTACTCTCTCACGGAAATCTCTGGCAGGTCGGTTCAGACCCTCTGGGTGCTTCCATTCCTGCACGCAGTTCAGGCCGCCTGGATCAGGACAGAAAAGGCCTACTCGCAGACCCTCTGCCCCGACTTCACACTCCCCACCCTCTCCAACCTCGGGGGAGCCAACTCTGCCGACTCTGCATACCACAGGCCTATGTCATACAGCCATATGCGCTTCGTCATGGGAGTCCCTTGGCAGCACTCTTCTCAGCCCTCCCTCGCCCGAGGAAGCAATGGCTTTTACGCGACATAGCCTCAAGGTCTGCCTCCTATCCGCAGGCGCACAGGTCCACACTGCCGAACAAGCCAACATCAAGGGCACCATGAAAGCCCTAGTGTCCAACTATACAGCCACGATGATGCCTTGATGGCACTCGACTTGCAAGCCCAAATTTCACAAGCATGTGCGGATGGATGGCGACCCACGAGGCCCAAAGCCAGAGGAGGAAGACAGCCGCGTCGTTTGATGTCCTCAGATGCACTCCACCGAGCAAATTTCTGCTGGAAGCCTTTGTGGAGCTATCGCGCTTCATCTACTCCAGAGAGGGCCAAAGGACGGTTCGATGTCCATGACGTCTGGATCGGTGGAGGAATTAATTAATTATTTATTTATT